CCCCTATACACCCCACCCCCAACCCCCCCATCCCCAAAAGTTTCTCAGCGGATTTGGGCTGTACTCAAAAAGCACAGTACAGCTTCCAACTCAGATCGGAAAAACAATTAGTGGATGGTTGTTTTCTGACTGGTCGGCAGACCGCCCACCGGTCGGCCCTACTGGTCGGCTGCAACACGGTTGGTAGGGATGCAACCATGGAGCAGCGGGAAAAACACTCAAGTAGCAGGCAGGCCGGTACCACTCAAGTAGTGGTAGAAGTGTCGGGTACTGGAGGCCGAGCAGAAGAAGACAAAAAGTTGGCATTTTTAGAGGCCCAGTAGCGGTAGCTTAGAGGTAGGTTGGTACCAGTCCAAGTAGCCCGAGTCTAGGGCCTGTCCGGACGATAGCAGAGCCTGCAATGACATTTCCCTCCGAAAGGGAGGAGGTACCGGTTGCTGGGAGGCCGCTCGGCCTAGGAAGTCACCGCCGAAGAGACCAGTAGGCCGCTATATTTTCCGGAGGAGCAAACAGCTCCTCCTCATTTGCGGTATGCAAGGATTGGCGACATGCTGCTGGAGCCAAGCGCTGGACTTGGGCAGCGCTGCCTGGAGGTGACGAGCAGCTGGGCGCTCAGCCTGGGTATGGCGAGCAGCCCAGCCTGAGGAGGAGGAAGAAGGGGGCGAAGGAGGAGAGTGGCGAGGTACCTACCTGGCTATGGTGGACACCATCTTCATCACCTTGTTGGGCGCTGCATCTGGAAGGCCCCAGTTGGGGTAGTGCCGCACCAAGGAAGCTCGAGGCAGAGTCAGGCATGGCGGCTTAGTCAGCAGCGGCATAGCCGCTTTGGGTTGTCCTTTGGACAGGAGTGCAGCGACATAGCTGCTTTGCGTTGTCCTTTGCACAGGAGGGCAGGGCCCTCAGTTGTCCGCCATCGACTAGGCATGTGAGAGGTGGAAGAAGGGGGAAAGCCATAGCTATGGTGGACCTATGGTGATGTCAGCAGTAAGAGGGAGCTTCGGACATCGATTCTGGTTCATCCACTCGTTATTATTATTATTGGGAGAAGAATAAGATTGGCGAAGTGAAGGAAGAGGAGGAAGGTGGAGAGAGAAGGGGGATTTGTCATTGGTCTTGCTGGTGTACATCTTCATCATCATCTTCTTCTTCTTCTTCTTCTTCTTTCTCTCTTCTTTGGTCTCTATCTCTTTGCAAGTGCTTTCATTTCTTTCGCAATTGGGTGGCATTGTCTTTCATTGTGAATTTGCACTTTGGGAATGACCAGGATAGTAACAGGTGGTAAGGATAGTTTAAGTTCTCTGTCTGACCTGCCAGATGGCACCCAAAAGCACTGCCTGAGGAATCTTGCCAATTGGCATGCTAACGTTGGGCAAAAGAACTCCAGCAAACAAGATCGATGTGAAGAAGCCTGATAACCGTTGCTCGTGCGTAAACAGAATCTGCTGACAACCCTGTGCAGCCTCCTCATCATTGCCTGCTGCAACGGTAATCGACAGAGCGCTCACATGCTCAATGCTCTGCACAAGCACAACCATAACCAGCAACCAACACACGTTTTATTTATATTGCAACAACGCACCTCAGAATCCACACCAAAACACACATATCTGCAGCAAACATGCATGTGAGAGATCACACGTGCACTCGAGAGAAAGAGTTCCATACCGAATTATAATAGCACACAAAGAAATTGTTGCGAGGAACAAGCCCTCAAGGGGCCATATCAGACATCACATTGTTCTGGGCTAAGGGCCCCAGCAAGCCAAGTGCCCGCCCTAAGTGAAGGCGGGCCTGAATATTCGTCAAAGGCAAAATTCGACATTTCCATATGTGGGTATTCAGGCTCTCGCAGCACGCCAGTTGGTTGGGAAGACACGTGAGCCGTTTATTGCTGTGTCAAACAGTTGGCCCAGGCCATTACAGTTGCGCCTGGGCACACACACACAAAGCAGGGCCGATACAGTGAGAGGCAGGCTGTCGGCCTTCAGAAAAGCAGTACTGCTGACGCATCTACCTGGGAGCCCTGCGCAGATGCAGCAAACAGCCCAAGTCCAGAAGACTCAGGCCGTGCCCAACTAGAAAGGGCCAGGCCCTCAACAGTAAATCTCGGGCCTGGGCACAGGGTTTGAGGCCCAACCGGAAGCTTCTGACACGCAGCATCCAAGAGGCTGACACTGCCATAAAGGAAGTGAGGCAGCCCAGGCCAGACACACTGGCCAGCGCTGGCAATGCGGAAGTGCTGCTGCACTTCTGCTTGATGCTGCGCTAATGCCAGGGGCGCTGACGGAGCGCTAGGTGGTGAGAGGGGCGCTGCAGGGCAGCGGGGCGCAGGCGGCCATAGCCGGGCTGCTGGGCGCCAGGGGGYACAGCGGATGATCGGGTGGTCTTCAGGGAGTGAGGCGCTGTGTGGGGTAATCAAGGTCTGACTGAGGGTGACGAGATACGTACCTGGTACATGAAGACAGGTCGGCGATGGTGTTGGCAGTCGTGTACATTGGTCTTCGAGAGTCGAAGTGATCCTGTTGCGTGAACCGGCTGTAGGTTGGCTAGTCAGGTAGAGTAGTCTGGGCGCCGAGCGCAAGACAGCAGAGAGCGACTTTGCATACTGTGTTGGTGTGGCCTACGGGCTTGGACATTGGCTCATTACTTCATTGTATTGCTCTATATGGATGGTTTTCTCGGTGCATTTGTACTCTCTGCTTGGGACACGACTACTGGTTCAGCTGTGTGATTTCGCAACTTGGTTTTATGTATATCGCTCACACTCATATTCCTTGCATTGTTCATCAGATCAAGCGGCATGTGCCGCACCACCTCACAACACGAATCAGGTATGTAACAGCTTCCCTTTTCCCCTTGCATGCCCCTCTCTCCATCTCTCTTTCTGACTTGTGCCACACAGACCTCTCTCAACTCTCTCCCTATGCTAGCCTGCTATCTACCCTGGTTACACCCGAGCCTCAAGCTCTCTGACCCTTGAGGCTATGGCTGCCCACACTTCCAACAGAACCCTAGCTATGGCGCCAACCAAGTGCCTGTCTTCTCCACAAGGCAAGGCGCCGGTCTTCCTCAACGGAGCGCAGATCGCTCAAGTCCCGCACCACACAAGCAACCTGCAGCACTTCCACAACTCACGAGTTGAACAACCGCCAACACAAAACACTGTAGCAGCTAAAAGTACCCGCCGGTCAACGCCCGCAGTCTTGCTTCCAACCGGTACTGGTCGTACTGGCCTTACTGCTGCATGTTCCGGAAGTGTCCAGACCTACCCCCGTCGGCCTTGGGACGCTGCAAAATTGGACTTTGGAACTTCACTTCTTCTGGCGGTACCTGTGGACTTTTACCTACCTCGACATTTCGGTAGCCGACTCCTACTGACCTATGACACTTCAACTTACGAGCCCTAGGACTCGACCTACCAGGACAGCCGGGAACTGCGACCAATTGGGACTCTGGGACCGGGACTTCGAGACTGACAGTGTGAGATCCGTTCAATATGTTTTATTGCCTTCACACAAGCCCACAGGCATTGCTAGTGTGTCGATTCAAGTGAGTTCACATGCCCGATCAGCAGATGGCCTTTTTCCGCTTGTAAGCAAAGGGAAAACGAAAGACACAAGGAGAACACCACTACCTTGGCGCCTGTTTTTACACAGGTGGACAGTGCTGCGCGTCAAGAAATAAAAAGAACCTCCGTGGGCGCGATTCTCTCTCTTTTTGGCTGGTGGTGACAGCCATTTCGGTCTGCTTGCACCGACCCTTGAAAGTTGCAGCAAATATATTTGTCCAGCAATTCGTTTTGCCTCGGGCGCGTAGTGGTGGTTTAAGGTACTCTGTTACTTCCACGTTCGTCTCCCAGCTGTTCCCTGATCTGGCCTGTTCTGTCCTCTTCCATACACACAGAATTCCTTCCAGCGTTACTCACAAAGCTGCAGTACACCTGCCGCAGGCTTGCTGCTGGTTACCTGTCTCATAACTAACCTACTGATCGCTTCATCAATCCCCAGTAAAGCCCCAAGTGCTTTTCCTGTCTTTGTTTTTTTGTCGTTTTTTCCTTTCCTTTTTTCCTCGTTCCTATTTTTCTAAAATTTTCCTCTTTCTTATCTATCTTTCCCCTGGACCGAAGTCCTCCCTTTATTCGTCCATGACCGGAACACTCAACTTGCAGTATGGCGTGGTGCCTCACTGGTTGCAGACAATCCCTTTCCAGAGGGATCTCAGAGCAGGTCACACTTTCTACTTGTTCAGATATTGCGCAGTTGATCTGTACATCACCACTCTGAGCCCACTTAAAAAAGAAAGGGAGAAGAAGAAGAAGAAGAAGAAGAAGAAGAAGAAGAAGAAGAAGAAGAAGAAGAAAAAGAAGAAGAAGAAGAAGAAGAAGAAGAAGAAGAAGAAGAAGAAGAAGAAGAAGAGCACGAGCACTTGCTCAATCAATTTCTTGAAAAACTCATTACAGAGCGCTGCGCCGCTGGCGACATACCTACACCGCATTTCAACCATGAGATGGCCTTGGTATTATCAGGGGACATGAGGGAGTGCTATGGCGATGTGCCTGCCTAACTCAGCTACTTCATATAAATGGTCCCATCGGGAACTGAGGCCTTTCCCTTCTCAGCATGCCATACTACAAATGTCCGCAGGGCTGTGCTTTTCCCACCGATCCAAGGTGCTCATCCACCAAGTGAAGGCCAGACTTGTCATCGCAGCTTTGTGGCCGGAGAAGAAGACAAAGAACTCGCCATCAGGGTGATGTCAGCATGCCAGAGATGAGGTCAAAAGATTTGCTAGGGAGTGTGGTGTCACAATGGGAGATACCGATCGCATCGCTGTGTCTAGTGCCATCGAGAGGAGAAGACAATGTGGGAGAGAAAAAAGCTGTCTTTGTGAATCAATCTGGATATTATGAGTGAAAAAGAAGGCAAAGATGAGAGGAGAATGGCAAGCCTCAGAGCTTCTAGTAATGTCCACGGGAATGTGAGCACGCGCGAAGGGGCAGACAGATCCCATGGCAGATATCCAACCAGGAAGAAGACATTTCGGGAATAGTCAGCAGGGAGTGACGCAACACACCATGTTCAACATACCACGAGTTGAGTTAGGAAACGGGAATAGTAAGTGTAATCCAACACGAATGCAAACAGGATTTTGGTCCAGAGGGGAGATGCAAATAAGAAGGGGAAAGTAGGAATAGGAATGAAAGGAAAGGAGAAAATATACAGAAGCTCTGGAGTCCTTCCTCTCCTTCTTTTCCGTTCTTCCTCTTCTCCTTCTATGTTTTATTTTCCCTTTCTTCTCGTTTCTTTCCTCTCTGCTCTGCCTAGATCTGTGTAGTGCCGTAAAGGTTTCACTGTTTGCTCTCCAATCTGCACGGACTGGGGAATGATGATAGGCGAAGAGAAGATCCGAACAAGCACATCTCTCTCTCTCTCTCTCTCTCTCTCTCTCTCTCTCTCTCTCTCTCTCTCTCTCTCTCTCTCTCTCTCTCTCCACTCCACGGATTAAGATAGAATAGCCATTGATCTTCATTATCTTTAGTCAATCTCTCCTATTCCATGCAGGTGGACCTTTTCCCAGCGTTCAGGGCCAAGAGAAAATTCCCTCTCTCTCTCTCTCTCTCTCTCTCTCTCTCTCTCTCTCTCTCTCTCTCTCTCTCTCTCTCTCTCTTCCACGGATTAAAATAGATTAGCCATTGATATTCATTATCTTTCGTCGATCTCTCCTATTCCATGCAGGTGGGACCTTTCCCCAGCATTCAGGGCCAAGAAGTGATTTTTTTTTTTTTTTTTTTTTGAACAGGTCCTTATGGCCCTGGCTCCTTATCCATTCTGGGGAGCGTCAGTCCGGTTCCTATTCCATGGGCAAGTCAGGAATGAATACATCAAGAAACCCACTCACGCAGCCTTCCGTATGGCCGAAGGACCCCTGACCAGCATTGATTGCTCCTTAAAGGAGGATTGACTGTCAGCTTGCCTGTCTCTGAGTTCCCTCTCAAGTTCCATATTGAAACCTGCCAGACAATACCAATAAAACAAAGAGAAAGAGACAAGCTGTTGATGGGATCCTAGTCCGCCTCCTGTGACACTGAAGTCTCTTTTGTTGGTGTGGGGGATTGCCGACCACCGCTCACTGAGTGTGTCCCGGAGGTCTCATGTAGTCCTGAGATCATGTCGTCTAGTTTGGAGGAGGTCCCTCGTTCCTTGGGGGATGACCGAGTTGTGCCAGTTTTTCCACCTGATTTGTTAAGTATGGATTTCTGCTTGGATAACCGAGTTGTGCCAGTTTTTCCACCTGATTTGTGAAATATGGATTTCTGCTATCTTCCCATAGACTAGCCACACCCTCCTGTACTTGGCTATCATCTCTTGTTGCTTGTCCGGGTCCTGTTGAATTTGGTGCTCGACCTTCTCCATTGACATCGGATGTCTCCATTGACATCGCATGTCAGTCTCCATGAGGGGTCTCGTTGATGCCCGCACTTGATCCGATGGCGTGGCTGAGTTGTCAATTGTCCGGC